AAAATAAAAAATTCAAAAGCACAACTATAATAAATAAAAGCTTTAATTTTGAATTTTTAGTTTTTATTTTTTTTATATATTTAATAACTAGTACTATATTTAAAATAAATTTAATAAATTCAAAATTTTATAATAAATTTTAATCTCTAAATATAAAAAATAGTTACTAACTGTATAAAAAGATAAAAGCTCAAAACCTAAAACTAAAATCATACAAAATAGAACTTTAGTTATTCAAAAGCCTCACAATTAGTTTCAAACTCTGCAAATTACATTTTAAGTTCTATCCGTTTATTTACTTCATAGTTCTAGCAACATTATAATTATTTTTAGTTCTCCTAATAGGTTTAAGAAGTGAAGATGGCTTCCATCTTTTGGCTTGATTTGAGCAAACAAGGGGCAAGCACAAGCATTTCTCTCATACGCCCAAAAGCAGAGATTTGGAGATAATGATAGTATATTTGGAGATAATAATTATATATTCAAGGATTTAAGTGCTAAATATGTCGGTGGAATATGCAAAGGGATTATAAAAGTTAACTTTTGATTTTTCAACTTCAAATAGAAAAAAAAAATTATTTTTTTAAATAAAAAATTAGAAATCCTTCAAAATTTTAAATTAAGAAATCATTCTTAAGTCAACCATTTAATTAGATCAATAATAGTCCTCTTTTTATAAAATTAAAAGAGATATTATTTGAGTCAAAAACATACAATTAATAAATTAAAAAATATGAGAGAGTTATCTTTTTTGATATATATGTTTTAAAAAATAAAAAAAATCTAAATATTGAAAAGCTTTTCAATCACAAAAAAAAAAAGAAAGAAGAAAAACCCTACAAAATCAAAATCACCCATCCATCCCAAATTCCCAAACCCCACAACACCCAACCACCCATGGTTAAAAATTAACCAAGGTTAGCCAATCATGAGTCAAAACAATCATATAAAAGTGGGTTGTTGGGCATATTTTCTTGAAACCCTAAATCAAAACTTCCCCAAACCCACTATTTTTAGGTCTCACCCTCTTAGTTTTAACCTCTTAAGAAGAGGCCTAGGAAAAGAAAAGAGAGGAGAGGGGCAGAGGTGTACATAGGCAAAGAAGAAGGGCAAAGAGGAAAAAAGGGTCAAGGAAGAGTCTTTTGAAACCCCACCCTAAAAACAAACAAATACACAGAGGTATGTATGTCTCTCTCCCCTTTTTCTCTATATTTTTGCCTATTCTTTTTTCTACCCAATTTTACAAAATCCAAACTTGTAGAGATTCTAGGATTTTCAGGACTAGGGTCTCTATCTCTCAAAAACTACTGAAAATGGCCCTCCATATTTTCCTTTCTCTTTCTCTCCTTTGCTTTTGGACCTGCAAT